ACAATTCTATTTTATATAGCCACGGCCCCCCATCACAGTCAGGAACGATAATGTGGCCCCCAGAGAAAAAAGTTTGGGGACCCCTGCTCTAGACCCTTCCAGAGCTGAGATATCAAAGTTCAAAATTTCGACCCGAAAAAAAAACGACAGTGTTACCCCTTTCGTTTTTTTCCGTTTTTGGGCGAAAAATTAAGTTTCTCCAATCTTCTCAAAACTCTGGATTATGATAGAGGGCTGTGAGACTTTGACCTGAGTGCAAAAATGGAGGCTCTAGACCCTTCCAGAGCTGAGATATCAAAATTCAAAATTTTGACCCGAAAAAAAAAACGACAGTGTTACCCCTTTCGTTTTTCATTTTCGGGCGAAAAAATTAAGTTTCTCCAATCTTCTCAAAACTCTGGATTATGATAGAGGGCCACGAGACTTTGACCTGAGTGCAAAAATGGAGGCTCTAGACCCTTCCAGAGCTGAGATATCAAAGTTCAAAATTTTGACCCGAAAAAAAACGACAGTGTTTACCCCTTTCGTTTTTTCCGTTTTTGGGCGAAAAATTAAGTTTCCCCAATCTTCTCAAAACTCTGGATTATGATAGAGGGCTGTGAGACTTTGACCTGAGTGCAAAAATGGAGGCTCTAGACCCTTCCAGAGCTGAGATATCAAAATTCAAAATTTCGACCCGAAAAAAAAACGACAGTGTTACCCCTTTCGTTTTTTTTTCATTTTCGGGCGAAAAATTAAGTTTCTCCAATCTTCTCAAAACTCTGGATTATGATAGAGGGCCACGAGACTTTGACCTGAGTGCAAAAATGGAGGCTCTAGACCCTTCCAGAGCTGAGATATCAAAATTCAAAAATTTCGACCCGAAAAAAAAAACGACAGTGTTACCCCTTTCGTTTTTTTTTTCATTTTCGGGCGAAAAATTAAGTTTCTCCAATCTTCTCAAAACTCTGGATTATGATAGAGGGGCTGAGACTTTGACCTGAGTGCAAAAATGGAGGCTCTAGACCCTTCCAGAGCTGAGATATCAAAATTCAAAATTTCGACCCGAAAAAAAAAACGACAGTGTTACCCCTTTCGTTTTTTTCATTTTTGGGCGAAAAATTAAGTTTCTCCAATCTTCTCAAAACTCTGGATTATGATAGAGGGCCACGAGACTTTGACCTGAGTGCAAAAATGGAGGCTCTAGACCCTTCCAGAGCTGAGATATCAAAATTCAAAATTTCGACCCGAAAAAAAAAACGACAGTGTTACCCCTTTTTTTTTTTTTTCATTTTCGGGCGAAAAATTAAGTTTCTCCAATCTTCTCAAAACTCTGGATTATGATAGAGGGCCACGAGACTTTGACCTGAGTGCAAAAATGGAGGCTCTAGACCCTTCCAGAGCTGAGATATCAAAATTCAAAATTTCGACCCGAAAAAAAAAACGACAGTGTTACCCCTTTCGTTTTTTTTTCATTTTCGGGCGAAAAATTAAGTTTCTCCAATCTTCTCAAAACTCTGGATTATGATAGAGGGCTGTGAGACTTTGACCTGAGTGCAAAAATGGAGGCTCTAGACCCTTCCAGAGCTGAGATATCAAAGTTCAAAATTTTGACCCGAAAAAAAAACGACAGTGTTACTTACCCCTTTCGTTTTTTTTCATTTTCGGGCGAAAAATTAAGTTTCTCCAATCTTCTCAAAACTCTGGATTATGATAGAGGGCCACGAGACTTTGACCTGAGTGCAAAAATGGAGGCTCTAGACCCTTCCAGAGCTGAGATATCAAAATTCAAAATTTCGACCCGAAAAAAAAAACGACAGTGTTACCCCTTTCGTTTTTTTTCATTTTCGGGCGAAAAATTAAGTTTCTCCAATCTTCTCAAAACTCTGGATTATGATAGAGGGCTGTGAGACTTTGACCTGAGTGCAAAAATGGAGGCTCTAGACCCTTCCAGAGCTGAGATATCAAAGTTCAAAATTTCGACCCGAAAAAAAAAACGACAGTGTTACCCCTTTCGTTTTTTTTCCGTTTTTGGGCGAAAAATTAAGTTTCTCCAATCTTCTCAAAACTCTGGATTATGATAGAGGGCTGTGAGACTTTGACCTGAGTGCAAAAATGGAGGCTCTAGACCCTTCCAGAGCTGAGATATCAAAATTCAAAATTTCGACCCGAAAAAAAAAAACGACAGTGTTACCCCTTTCGTTTTTTTTTCATTTTGGGCGAAAAATTAAGTTTCTCCAATCTTCTCAAAACTCTGGATTATGATAGAGGGCCACGAGACTTTGACCTGAGTGCAAAAATGGAGGCTCTAGACCCTTCCAGAGCTGAGATATCAAAATTCAAAATTTCGACCCGAAAAAAAAAACGACAGTGTTACCCCTTTCGTTTTTTTCATTTTTGGGCGAAAAATTAAGTTTCTCCAATCTTCTCAAAACTCTGGATTATGATAGAGGGCTGTGAGACTTTGACCTGAGTGCAAAAATGGAGGCTCTAGACCCTTCCAGAGCTGAGATATCAAAATTCAAAATTTTGACCCGAAAAAAAAAAACGACAGTGTTACCCCTTTCGTTTTTTTCATTTTCGGGCGAAAAATTAAGTTTCTCCAATCTTCTCAAAACTCTGGATTATGATAGAGGGCCACGAGACTTTGACCTGAGTGCAAAAATGGAGGCTCTAGACCCTTCCAGAGCTGAGATATCAAAGTTCAAAATTTCGACCCGAAAAAAAAACGACAGTGTTACCCCTTTCGTTTTTTTCCGTTTTTGGGCGAAAAATTAAGTTTCTCCAATCTTCTCAAAACTCTGGATTATGATAGAGGGCTGTGAGACTTTGACCTGAGTGCAAAAATGGAGGCTCTAGACCCTTCCAGAGCTGAGATATCAAAATTCAAAATTTCGACCCGAAAAAAAAACGACAGTGTTACCCCTTTCGTTTTTTTTTCATTTTCGGGCGAAAAATTAAGTTTCTCCAATCTTCTCAAAACTCTGGATTATGATAGAGGGCCACGAGACTTTGACCTGAGTGCAAAAATGGAGGCTCTAGACCCTTCCAGAGCTGAGATATCAAAATTCAAAATTTCGACCCGAAAAAAAAAAACGACAGTGTTACCCCTTTCGTTTTTTTTTCATTTTCGGGCGAAAAATTAAGTTTCTCCAATCTTCTCAAAACTCTGGATTATGATAGAGGGCTGTGAGACTTTGACCTGAGTGCAAAAATGGAGGCTCTAGACCCTTCCAGAGCTGAGATATCAAAGTTCAAAATTTCGACCCGAAAAAAAAAACGACAGTGTTACCCCTTTCGTTTTTTTCGTTTTTGGGCGAAAAATTAAGTTTCTCCAATCTTCTCAAAACTCTGGATTATGATAGAGGGCCACGAGACTTTGACCTGAGTGCAAAAATGGAGGCTCTAGACCCTTCCAGAGCTGAGATATCAAAATTCAAAATTTCGACCCGAAAAAAAAAACGACAGTGTTACCCCTTTCGTTTTTTTCATTTTGGGCGAAAAAATTAAGTTTCTCCAATCTTCTCAAAACTCTGGATTATGATAGAGGGCCACGAGACTTTGACCTGAGTGCAAAAATGGAGGCTCTAGACCCTTCCAGAGCTGAGATATCAAAATTCAAAATTTCGACCCGAAAAAAAAACGACAGTGTTACCCCTTTCGTTTTTTTTCATTTTCGGGCGAAAAATTAAGTTTCTCCAATCTTCTCAAAACTCTGGATTATGATAGAGGGCTGTGAGACTTTGACCTGAGTGCAAAAATGGAGGCTCTAGACCCTTCCAGAGCTGAGATATCAAAGTTCAAAATTTTGACCCGAAAAAAAACGACAGTGTTACTTACCCCTTTCGTTTTTTTCATTTTTGGGCGAAAAATTAAGTTTCTCCAATCTTCTCAAAACTCTGGATTATGATAGAGGGCCACGAGACTTTGACCTGAGTGCAAAAATGGAGGCTCTAGACCCTTCCAGAGCTGAGATATCAAAATTCAAATTTCGACCCGAAAAAAAAACGACAGTGTTACCCCTTTCGTTTTTTTCATTTTCGGGCGAAAAATTAAGTTTCTCCAATCTTCTCAAAACTCTGGATTATGATAGAGGGCTGTGAGACTTTGACCTGAGTGCAAAAATGGAGGCTCTAGACCCTTCCAGAGCTGAGATATCAAAGTTAAAATTTCGACCCGAAAAAAAAAACGACAGTGTTACCCCTTTCGTTTTTTTCCGTTTTTGGGCGAAAAATTAAGTTTCTCCAATCTTCTCAAAACTCTGGATTATGATAGAGGGCTGTGAGACTTTGACCTGAGTGCAAAAATGGAGGCTCTAGACCCTTCCAGAGCTGAGATATCAAAATTCAAAATTTCGACCCGAAAAAAAAAACGACAGTGTTACCCCTTTCGTTTTTTTTCATTTTCGGGCGAAAAATTAAGTTTCTCCAATCTTCTCAAAACTCTGGATTATGATAGAGGGCCACGAGACTTTGACCTGAGTGCAAAAATGGAGGCTCTAGACC